GGGGGGGGGGGGGGCAGATGGTGCGTTAGCTCAAACTGTATTGAGATGCAAGTCTGTTTAGCACGGACGTACATATTTCTGTTTAGAAGTACGTAGACCATGAATCAAACTGCTTGATTGATGGAAAATCCACATCATAATATAACAATATTTATTCCAATACACTACACTTCATTTCAGTTAAATGTTAAATTTGTCAGAGTAAAAATCAAAGACAACACTTCAAACTAATACAAGAATTGTGGCAATACAACCGACAACCTGCTGAGATAAAAATAATACAATAAAGACGAGATTTATTGTTTTGAAAGGCCAACAGAATCCAGACACCAAGTAAGGCAAGTTAATCACAGAAACATAATGCGTTCAAGAGAATAACAGGTCACAGATCACACATCTTTCTTTATAGAACAAGACGAGTATTTTGAGTTCTTCACAGTCCAGTTTCAAGAAATAAAAGATGTATGGTCGCAATAACAAATCTAAATATTTCAAAATCGCAAAACTTGAATCAGCACTTTCATCCGGTTATCTGATGTCTTAGATATCAAGACATTTAAATAAAGTTATTATTATATACATTTCCACTTAAACCTTGAGAGCAGAGAGCTTCTTTTCATTTTCAGAACAATTCTGGAGTTCTTGGTGAGGGCAATAATTAAACCCAATAAAAAAAAAAAAAAATAGAAATGAAGCTCAAATACATTTTCGTACCTACTTTCACGAGAGTACGACCCAGACAGAATGAGCGGGTCATGTATTCTTTAATAAATGGAAGTCCAAAAGCTTTTATTTTTTAGTTTCCAGCGCACCATTAAATTCTGCTGCTTCATGAATAAAACAGAAGCCCCAGGAACAACACTGGTTAAAGTTTTAGCAGGTGAGGCTGAACTTGACTGGGCCTTGACAGCAGGGGTAAAAAATTAACACGCTTTTCCAAATTTAGGCCACTGGAGCCTTTCGAACTGGAAAAACACCATCCGGCGGTGAGGAGATGAATTAGGTGTTGCAGTAGCTCTTTTCACAGGGGACCTGAAGGACTCCCATCTGGCTGAGCTAAGTAAAGGTCCCTACTTGTAAAGAAAACCAGCTCAAGTCTTCTTTCATGGAGGAAGCTGGAGAAGGTGTGCTGAAGAGGAGGAGTTAAGGGTCTGTGAAGGGGCTTTAGGGGGGGAGGGGCTGAGGTGAGAAGAGCATTGAAGAGGGCGATTGAGAGCAGTTGGAGAGTAGAGCCAAGCAGCCCTTAAAGGAAAGCTGGGAAATAACACCGATGGAGAAGTGAACAGGGAAATGGAAAAGGAAGAAGAGCGAGGAACACCCTCCTACAAACCAAACCAGCTAGGTTACAATTACCACACTTACAGTGTAATAACATTGAAGTAGTTCGTGCAACCACCACAACATATCAACCATTATACATTAAAGGCAAAGAAAACACATTTGGGATACTAACTCCAACTGCCACTAATCTTGAAGTCATCTTGAATACCAAACCACAACTTCGCCGACCATACTTCACCGTTATAGCTCTTCCTTTGGGCAGACATGCAACAATTAACAGCTTGTTAGCATCCTTTAATTACTGAATCTGGCTCGCACTATATGCCTCAAATACACAGGAAAATGAAGACCTGTTTATGTCATTCACTGGGATGTTGAACCAAGCAGGTGCGTAAACTGCATAAACCGGTGTTTTAATCCAGTATTGATGATCCATATTCAGGACAAACAAACTTTCCACTGGGTTACATGCTGGACGAGGCTGGCTTTGCTGTATTTGTTTAACAAAGTATTTCATAGCCTGGTTGATTTAATTGACCATACATCTAACACAGACACCTCTAATGTCCTAACCTTCAGGGAAGAATCACATTAAAACATGGTGTTTTAACTTATTTTTCTTAGCACCTTACATCACACCTATACATTTGGAAAAAGCTACTTCGTTCAAGTTTACTGCAGTTTTATATATGATCTATAATATGACATTTTGTAATTACACTGTTCATGATGGTGAGTAGGCAGGACGGGTGTTACGACTATAAGCATGCGCCGTGCCAGCGGTGATGGGATTCAGTGCCGCTATCAGCTTGAGGAATGTCTCGTCATGTCAGAACATGAACAGCGAGCAGCAGTGACGAGCTGGTTCTCTCCTCTATAAAACACTCAACTCAGGGAAAGGACTTCAACCAGTTTGCGCAGTCAACTAAAACAAATTGATACATTGATATTAATGCAAGCAATTGAGGTACCTCACATGCATTGGCAACGTACTGCATTTTCCATACTAACCAAGTCACAAATACCCTTTAATGACACCACACCAACGTATGTTTCAAAGTGCTGCAGTGAGTGAGCAGGAGGAGTCACCGACAGCGTCATCCTTCACTCCTATGCTCACATCCTCAACCTCGCTTTCACACAAGACACCCAATTAGTCACTCCGTTAGGAGACAAGTGCCAAAGGCAATGCTTTCTAGGAGCAAAGTAGTTAGTATGTTGTATCTTGTGTGCATGGTTCAGCTAATTGTGTTGTGCTGTCAAGAACAATATTACTTTGCGCTGCTGAAATTTAACATGTCCGAGCCTAGTGAGCTTGGGCAAGACGCCAACATAGAGCTTAGGCTCCAGCAAGCACTGCAGCATGAGTTATTGTGTATACAATCCTTCTGGCTACATTTTAAGGCTGGATGCCTTGAAAAGACATTGCATCACAAGAGCTCTGATAAGACACGAGTGACGTACTATTTGTAGATTACGCCTGTAGTGTTGAGCCACTTAAACCCTCCCTGTGGTTCTCCCACAGTTTATAGCTTTGGAGTTGGAAAGAACAACATGTGGCACCATGAAGCCACAGAAAACACAGAGAGTGTAGAGTTCAGTTTCATTCTTACAACTGGAATTAGAGCTATTTAAGTTAAAAGAATCAAAACTACAATGTCTGAGAGAAACTGCACAAAGATGACCAAATTAAATGGTTTGCAGAAAGAGAGAAGCGCTATTCCCACATTTATAAAGTAGTAATACTTTTTTAATTCTACAATTCTGTAATCAGGTTGTTTTATTCTAGAAATAGAATTGAACACAACTTGTAGTATTTGTGCTGTATGTGAGCATATCATGCATGTCTGTAATTGATGTTTTAATTAAATAGGAAACAGTTAAATGTATAAACAGGCAAAACAGATATTTGTACAGCAATATAAATGTGGCAATATCAATAAAGTCGATGTGCATCAAACTCCTGATACGGGTGTTTTAGACACCACTGGAAGACTGCCCGCTTAAGTATTTTGTATGCTGCTGATAGGAGGAATTACTAATGACTTACAAATGGAATAAGACAATTACTGACAATATATAGAAATAGAATAAAAATATATCAATTCTCTGGGGCAGAGTGTGTCATCCCAGGGTGGAATCCTTGCCAAAAATAGTGCAGATGTTTAAGCAATTACAAGCGAAGGTTTGAAAAGGACACGAAGTCCTCCAACATTAAGATTTCAGGTGAACAAAGAGTCGACTATTTGTGCCCATCTACTTTATGTACAGCTTTGTTACCACATGCTGTCTGTCTGTCAGTCATTAAGCTCTTTTATGAACTCTTTTGCTTCCGCGCACGTCTCTTCTCTTCATCGTCTTCTGTCTCGATTGAGCAGCTGTACTCAAACATCTCCATAGACGTCCTGTCAGCCCTCATCAGTATCAACATGAATGAAACGTTGCAATACAGTACATTAGCAATGCAGCTCAGTGGAGCAGCTGGCTTTTTAAAGGAGGGGGGGGGGGGGGGGGGATCGAGTACAAAATGTTTTCTACACACAAATTTAATGCCATGTAAACGCTGCGCTGACATTTTTAAACACAGCCACTGTACTCAATTAGTCTCACCTATTACCATGTAGTTACACATGTAACTTTCCTGACTCACGAGTGTCAGATCTGTGAACTATATTATTAGACAAATGAGGCACATTGTGCCATTATCAGTGTTTGACTATCCTGTTAACACTTTTACAAGCAAAACACAAAAATATCAATCACAGATTTCCTGTGATATCACAACTGAAATGTCAGATGTTCACAGTTGGCTCACAGATCTCACGTAGAATAAAGTCCTCTCCATAATATTAAATTAATAAACCACACACTCACACACACTTCCCTTTTAAATTACAGCATTATTAACTACAGTAGAATTTGAGTCTAAAATAAAAAACAGTTGATAAGCAGGAGTTTTCCCACTCTTTCTGCCCGCCCCTTGTTGGGGAGGTACGGTTGGAGTTGCGGGGTGATTGGATGCCCCACTTACGCCGAGTTCGCCCTCTGCTGCATCTCCCTCCTGTGTCCTGTGGTCTCACAAGTTGCACCCGCTCCTCTCATACTGCTGCTGTCCTGGCAAAAACTGGAAGCTCCGACGTGGAAAGCAGAGCAACGGTAGCTCTAAATCCGTACAGGGCATGGTGATGCGACCCCGCTGCCGCCCTGATACAGTCATCTCTCGTCACTGGTGTCAATGAGCAACATCCACGGAGGTGAGACGCACAGGAGGACACGGAGATACACATGCATTTGAGGATGATTAGAAGACCGTGTCTGGTTCCGTTATCCGTTAGATTCTACTTCTGATTAAAGTGATCTTTCAGAAGCTGAGGCAAAATAGTCCTGTTGTCTTTGCGCCAACTTCCTCCTGCTGTGGCGTTCTCTCTCTCTTACCCTCCCTGCTTTCTCTCTCATAAAGCCACGCGTCATGAGCATGCTGCCTATTGGTTTTTGAAGCAGTGGGACAGCAAGCGTAGGGAGTGGCATCTTACTGTATGAATACGTATTCATGATCACTCAAACACATCACGGGCATCAGTGGAAACAGATCACACAACCTTCTGACCTTAGAGAGTGCTTTATATACACCTGGCTTCAACTACGCTTAAAGATTAAACACACATCGACCTGATCCTCGCTCACCCTCAACACCTTCAAACCGGTTTCAACTCCACACTAAGCATTCTTTTAGTCAATGAACGCCAGAGCTATTAATGTAAATACAGTATGGGTTTAAGCACTAACCAACCAGCAATGTAAATTGTGATCCCTTAACCATTTACTCATATTTGTGGGCTCAAGTTTCCACAATGGAAAACGGTGGAGAGCCGCGGAGGCCTGACAGCAGCTGTGAATTGTTTTTCTTTCACTTTGCACATAATAGACTGCGGCAGCTTGTTACCTCAGCCGGGGCCGGAGAATGCCAGCACACAGGGGCAGACTTAACATGTACAGATGGAGAGATTGGAAAGGCCTGTCCATGCATCATCCGCCTTGCTCGGCCTGAACGCTAACAAACCGTCGTCATGTTAATGCACGGCCAGACACACGGAGACCAAAGCAGACATCTCGGCTTTCGTGCTGTGATTCAGCGTCCCCGAAATAACGTCATTACATCAGTGATAATGGGCTTCACTGTCATCTACCCATACTATATTCCCTGTGCTTTAGATTCCTAAAAGCGGGAGCGTCCAGTTAAGAATACTCTCTTCCTGCAGATTTAAGGATGCTTTCACACCTGTAGACATTTAGTCCGGAACAAACAGAAAAATTAGACATTGTTGCATTATATTTCTGGTCCTGTTCACACGGCCATTTTACAAACAAACCAAGAGGAGTAAACAAAGTTAAACAGACTGACAGGTAACTCGTTGATTGGACCGTTTTGGTGATGGTCGTCCTGCATCATCAGGACCCACGTGGGGAAATCTAATTCTGGTAACTGACAGAATGAATGCAGCACTAAAATGCTTTTGCTTCTAACGTGTATATTTATGTACATTTATACCATCGTCGATCCGTGATCCGTACGGATCCCCCCTCGTGGTTCGGTACTCTTGTGGACCCCGGATTAATTACACAGTTTAACATTAACCATCACAGTGTGAAATAAAGATTTACTAACGATCGGTATTGTCAATATTCGATAAAATATGCAAATCAGGACATTTGTTTGAAGAAGATCTTTTCACAACAATAAAAATAGATATTACAGATGAATTGGGAACTGTTTACATGAGCTCTAAGCAGCAATACATCATTTACATAAACGTGACCAGGGAGCTCCCTTTTCTCTTTTGTGCCGATCTGAACTATGATCTCATCCGAACCGAGAGTTTTATGATGCGTTGCACCACTATAAGCAATATTAGTATTATTAGACTGAAAATTGACTGCATGTGATGATGAATAATAGTGGAGACAGGACTGTACTAAATCCCCTTTGCACACTCCCAGATAAGTGGTGCGAACGCACACCAGGAACACCGGGAAGCGCACAGACGCGTGGATGAGGCGGGGATCTGTGGGATAGCTGTCACATGCTTTTTAATGGAGCTAATGAAATGACAAAGAACAGAGAGTCAGATACAAGCACAGCTGTAACCGGCCTATTAATGAGGGAAATACCCACGCCGACGTGCTCATATACAGGCCTTAAATGCAGATCAATGAGATCCCTTCCTCAACTGCTTTCACAATCAGCAGATGGATTTATTAGCGGTTGAGCTTTTGAAATCTTGCTCACGTCACATAGCTGCTATCATAAAACATTGTGCTTTGTTTGTTTGCTTTCACACGATAAACAAACCACACCAGAGTCCACTTGGAAGCTCGACCTTATCAGACCATCTTGGTTGGGTTGTTTGGTTCGCACCAGCGTTTGATTGACAGCTATCACACCAGCCTAAACAAACCGTACTAACCGGGACAACCGACCAGAGTTTGTTTTTAACTAACCAAACAGGTTCGGTGTGAAAGCACCCTAAGCCATCGATTCTTGTTGAACTGAATGTGGAGTAACAGTCAGATAGTGCATCTCAATCAAATGGAAATGTGCAACAATAGCTTTAAGTTGTGTGGCTGCTCTTGCGTACAAAGTAACAAAGCAATGACAAGAAAAGCCTTTATTATACTTGTTGCGCAGGACGTCCTGCCTGTTGTACTATGGTACTTAACATTAACCTGGCACTGTAACATTTTCTATGCAAAGAAGCCAACTTATTATTCAAGCAGGCCCAAATAACGTGGAGTCATTCAAACACAAAATCCTGGGTATTAACAAACAACTCAAATGCGTTGGAAGATCCTGTTAAGGCCACAATGAGTGGCTCAGAAGTCTTGAAAACAGGATGTAGGAGAGAAAAGGCAGGGCAGTGTGGGTATTAGAAGGGCATGACAGGACGTTGCGTAACACATTGAAAATGCATGGAAACCATAGGCTTTGGATTATCAACCCACAGTAAAGACATTACAGAGGGACTGGTATTCCAATCAATGGGGTCTAGTAAAACAACCCTAAGCATGTGCATCCTTTGCTGTACGGGGGGGGGGGGGGGCCAGTTGTGTGACACGATGCAAACACAGTTCCATATAAGCTGCAGTGTAACTTGTTCAGCCCGGAGTAATTTCAAAAATGTATAACAGGAAATTACAGGCTTAATACTAATTGCTGGGCTCACCAGTCATCAAACCGGTGTAATGGCTGGGCCAATTCCATTCATAACACCATGCTTTGTTATGAAAGTATTGTAACATTTTTTGGCTAGTGGGAACAATCTCCACCAGGGAACATCCTTGTTAAGCTACGCGACATGATCCTCGTGCCGTTTCAGAACTCCACTGTCTCTGCCTCCCTAAACAAAGAGCAATTAGGTAGTGTGGCTACTCAATTAACACTGCGGTTAGAGAGACATTTCCACAGCCAAGTGCTTAACTCATTCACACAGCCACTGTTCTTCAAATCCATCCTTCCTTTCCCCTGTTTTTCTCCTTCATCCTACCACCACCTCCTTGGGGAATCCTTTATAATTTTAAAATCCTCACTAATCTTCATGGAAACTCAAAATCAACAACTCATTTCCCAACGTTCGGTTTGTTTAAGCTCATGCGCTGGGCCGCAGGTTTCTAATGGCAGCAGGAACGCACTCTGTTCGGCCCGCCTGACGTCTTCACTCTTGCCTCTTCGTTAAACTATCATCCGTGTGAAATTCCTATGGCATTGCCGCGGCCATTGTTTATGAATGAATGACTGTTGCACAGAGGAGTGAATGATTGTGACTGCCATTTGTCTTTCTCTCGCTCTCGCAAACACATTCACTCTACCGCACTGCCAAGTTTAGCTTTCACCGTCACTGTGCAACACACAGTGGGACCGCTTCCAACGGTGTGGAAGTTTTCCACCATCACTCCTCCAATAGGTACTTTGCAGGCTGCTAACATAACTCAAAAGGAATACAAGAGCAGTCTTGGAGCCAGATTACGCAGCCTGCAACACTGCTGAAAGGACTGGGTGGAATTCAGAATCATTCTGGGTAGTCAGCTGTGAATATAACACCCATTGCTGCCACTGGCATATGCTATTATAGGCACAATGAAAGAAAAAGTCCACCGCAACAACAACAAATGTATGTATTTCTTGTATTAGACATAGATTGGATGTTCACATACATAATGTGACTCAAGGGAAGTTCATTTTATGCCATGAGATTCACTATATTGCCTCCAGGCCAAAGCTAGGAGCTATGTCCATGACTATTACGCCTTTGCCTGAATCCCTGTACATTACATTAGGCATCGTCTGTAAGACAGCACCACTGGATGAGACAGTAATCTCGCAGGGGGTCCACATATCAGCCCCCGTCTATCACAGTGGATCAGTGACAAATCCTGAATGAGGGACAGACCCTCGTCTTAACTGGGTCATCATCACAAGGCGATGGCAGCACCTTATAACTCCTCTGCTCTCCAGAAGCCTCCACTGCCACACAAGAGGATGAATGAAGGCTGTATGCTCTTAGGAGAGCCCGTGTCTGGCCTCGCTCATGTTACCAATGGCAGGTGTTCTCATGATGAGCACACACAAACTGTACACATACATGCAGCAACTGAGCACAATGTTTTTTAAACCAGATGTTTTGGTGCGTCCAAATCTCTGATAATAGTAAACTAGTTATCAAGTGCGACAATGAAGCCAGAAAGAAAGAACATGGTAGTAAATTGTAAGAGCATACGTTTTTTTTGTCACGATCCTTTTACAGATTGACATCCTTGAAGGCCTTTGATGAACACCATCATACACTTCCCAACACACATGTTGGGAAATTACAGACTGATAATAAATAGAAACAAAAAAAAAAACAATGCGGTCCAGCTTTCCGGTGGATTCTTCACCACTACAAGCAATTCAACAAAACCACAGCACCAATAGAGAGGAGAAGACGGTGTTGCGTATGAGCCTTGCACAACTCGGTTGAGTCAAAGCATCTCAGAATAGGCAAGAGTGAGAGTGTGAGAACAATCGTTTTGACTCTCACCAGCATGTGAAGTTGTGTGTTAGTGGATGTGGCAGATAACTATTTGACTACAAGACTCTCATTGTGAAACAAAGCAAGACCAAAGAAAATCAATGCCATCCATGCACAAGGGACAACTGTTCCACGGCCTCACTGGCAACCCTGCAAGTTGATCAACTGGAAATCAAGAGCAGACGCATGAAGAAGTCAGCCGTGGCAGAACAACTACTTCCACAGTGGTACTATGTGTGAGACATTGGATTCAATTGCTGTTGCATTTAGGGGTTCAGTACCAGTCCGAGCCTCCCTCTGTATTGTGACAGGGAGATAAAGGGTGGCTCCTAAAAGAAGAGCTGAATCCACACTCCAGGTCCAGTCACTTCCATATCTTACAGTATGTGAGGGGCCAGAAATGACAACACTCAACACTTCTCTAATGAAACTGAAATAAATGGGAGGGCCGTATTTAGGTTATTACAACACCAGCACACACACACGCGCACTTTTGGACATGTGATTTTGTGCATGCATGACAAATTCATAAAAAATACCTATAATCAGAGCTGCAATTCTAAAATACAATGTATATGATGCATTTAACATATGTAGTGTGACACTGTACCAGTTACAATTCAGCCAGAAATGAGTTGATTAACTTACTCCATATTACAAATGTAAAGGGATAATTGCTGGTAAATCAAACTAAATCAAGCATTTGGTCAGTAAAGACTATAAGTATTGTATGGACTGGGCAGGACATCCTATAGATGTAGGTGTTCCGAGCACCTTAACCCAAGTGAACTCTGTACACTCTTACAACAGGAAAGGCACATTTAAAGTTGTTGTTTACCTAGATGACAGACACTGACCTCACTCAGAGGAAAGTAAACCCTCGTCACCTGCAACTCTTCATCAAACCAGTGCACTGTAGCTGCCTCCTCTAACTTTTCCTTCATGGTAATACTGTTAAAAATTTGGCATGCTTTCCGTCAATGCATTTATTTTCATGTTAAGGCTCATGCACACAATCATCAATACTGTGTGCAGTTGGCTTCACAGATGTAGATCATAACTGGTGATATAGCTGTGAGTAGCACGAGACAGTATTACACCTGGAGGAGTCAACACGAAGTCAAATCCAGACCTCACGTGCATGACAGCAGGAAGGAAGTCTACACAACAAGAAGTACAGGATGCTAGAAAATGTTGATTTCTAGGTATCAATGACCGAGATGTGATTTGTACAGGTAGTGTACTTACTGGTTCGTAGGAGGTGCAGAAAGGGGGAACACCACCTCTTCTTCCTCGTATTCCGGTCCATCCTGCATGTCGCTTTCATCCACAGTGCCACCGGGCACCCCGCAACCTGGAGGGGGAGGAGGTGGCGGAGGCAGTGGGGGGAAGTCAGGGGGTCCATCCGGGCCTGTTGATGTGGGTGAAACCCGACTAGCTGGACCCTCCGAAGTGGGAGAATAGCAAATGCCGCCCACGATCCCTGAACTTGGTCCTTGTAAAACTGAATGTCCACCTACTGCTCCGCCACTCCCTGTTGCGGGAAGCGCTGGTCCGGTCACATCCCCACTAGACATCGGGTAGGTCGCACTCGTGTCGGGAAGTGAGTCCGGAAAGGGGTTTGAATGCTGGCGGAGGGTTGGCGGTGGTCCTTGTCCCAAATCAGTGGCTCGCACTCTGCTCGGCTTGGGATAGTAGGGGAAAGGGGCCGTGTCCGGGCCTCCTCCGCCTGCCACCCCTGTCCCCGTCGTGACCAAGCCCGTATCCTCACTGCTGACCTCCGTAGCCATCATATTAGGACAATATATAGAGGGCGGAAGTCCAGAAGGGAACCTGCCCTTCCCCTCTGTTCTTACAAAACTCCTTCAGTGTTTGGGCTCTGCGGCAGAAACAACACCAAAAGTTTCCCAGACCGCGTTAAGCTAGCCAGCTATCGTTAGCCGACGAGCTAACTTCGCTCACTTGGCCGCACTAGCGGGCGTTAGCTTCACCTCGCATTCGCTACGCTACAAGATAGCCAAGCTAACGCTAGCGGGATGGCTAGCAGCTTGGAGACACTTGATGAGTTCTTGCTCGCTATGTCTTCATTGTTTCCTGAGTTTGAAGTTCACACAGAAGCACTATGTTGAAATTAACACGTACAATGTTACAAATTTGAATATCAATTCACCAATAGTTCCTGTTATTTAGTTCACCCTCGGCACAAGGCAGACCACTTGTCGGGGAGTGTTGTTTTATTGTCACTGTTGTGTGAAACCCCCGTCTTTTTCCAGTGTTGTTGTTTTTCTTTCCTCTTGAGTTTCCAGCCGTCCCGGATAAGAGTCCACGGGCGACCCAGCCTTATCACCGAAATCCCGGTCGGTCTGTGCAAACTCGCATGTCGTAAAAGTACATTATTCTTTCGTTTCGCAAGCTTAAGTTCGCCAATATTTCTGGGTTTCAGGGCTGGTGGCTTGCCCGCTGCTGCTCTGCTCTTTCTCCCCTCCCTCTCCCACTCCTCTTCACTCACCGAGCAGACACAGCCAAGTGAACACAGAGCGGCAACGGTTCAATCCATGGGATCTTCACTCAGTGCTCTGGGAAACGAGACTGTGCTCCCATTGCTTAAAATACAGATTCATAAGGGGGTCGGTAGGTAAGGAAAAGAGCTGGAGATGATAGACTTTAAGACATGCGGTACCATATCATATTAAATCAATATTAAACTTAGTATCTTTGGGTTTTGGACTGATAAAACAAGACATTAAAAGACACCACCCTAAGAAACTGTGATGGACATGTTTCACTATTTTCTAACATTTCATAGACCAAACGATTAATCGATAATGAAAATAATCATTAGTTGCAGCCCTACCAATAATTCTTCCTTTTGAGTGATGAACATGAAGCTTGTCAGTCTGGACTGACATCATTCAGTTCTCCTAATGAAATATGCATAATGGTCTTACCAAAGTTTTTAATTAGCACTTTGATATACTGCTCAAGACAGTCTGAATATAGCTCTGGC